GGTAAATTTCCATCCGAAACATACAATCTGTCGTACATATGCTGATCAATGTAACCTTTCTTTAGCCATCTCGTTAGCATCATACGCACTCCCGCCGTCAATTTTTTGATAGGATCTTTATTAATTATTTCATAAGTCCCAGTTCGACAACATATCCTTCATTTTTTTCTTCATATCCAACCATATCCAAGGCTACAGTAGTATTCCCTTTATCCGCCCGAGTAAATAAAATTTGTTTCATACATTTTACTGTTAAAAAAATTTTTTTTGAAAGAAAGAAAATTGTGGTCGAAGTGTACGGGTTCGTTGTACAGATTTATATGTGAGATAGTGTATAAATAACTTAGTAGACGGTCGCTAATTGTTATTTGTTTCGTTTGACAGAGAAAAAATATTTCAAAGCTTTGTTACGATCTTACCAAGTTTATTCCTGAAACTGAGCATAGATGACATCGTATTTCATACGATCAGTTAAAAATTACGTTTTAAGGAATGGATCCGGGAAGGATAGATAGGTAAACATGAGTCTATTATCGGTAAATTATATAGGCATATAGGCAACCGACTTACTGAGTATATTATATGTTATTTATACAAACTTACCTTTTTAAAAAAAGGTAAAAAGAGCGCTAAGCATGCATGCTTTTCGTGAAGAATAATTTGGGTCGGTTTCACCAACGCCAATTACTTAATTGGCTGTGGAACAGACTAATTGTGTTTGCTATTTAGTAGAATTGACCACTTATGATTGACAATTAATCACCGATTCGGCTTAATCGATTTGATGAAACCGGCTCATTGCATATAATACTAAGTATCCAACTCAATTAATAGTAGCTTTAATTTTTTTTTAAGGATATTCTTATAATGACATGTATCATTCGTATAAAAGATTTGATATCAACAAAACTGACGCCAAGTTAAATTCCATGTAATTCGGATAGATCAGTAAAATTTAACTGATCGTACGAATTACGATGTCATCTTTGCTCGGTTTCAGGAGTAAACTTGGTCAGATCGTAACAAAAGCTTTGAAATTTTCTCTGTCAAACGAAACAAATAATAATTAGCGACCGTCTACTAAGTTAATTACACGCTATCTCACATATTCCTAAATGAGTGCTCTACAAAAATAAATTATACACCGTTTATGGTTTTTACTTTTTATTTAAAACAATTACCTGTACAACTCAATTAAATTCCTGTTCAACATAATGACACCAAAAATACAAATGCGATTGCAATTCTTTCTTAGACAAACGAGAAGATGCTTTAATAATCAGTTTTAAAGTATGATTCAAATTAATACAGTTACTATATCAAACTGGTCCAGTTTTTAAAAATAAAGTTTTTAGTCAGTTGAGATAAAGTCGACTAGTCGACTTTAAAGTCGCACCAATTTTCAATAATATCTGAAAATAAATTTCGTAAAAAAGGCCTCTACATAATAATAATTAGATAATAATATTACTTGTGTTTATTACACAACTTCAAAATGGATGTGCAATAACTCCAGACAGACTCTGGGAAATTATTCGTTGCAGTTAAACAGAGATGTAAAGCATACATACATGAATTCGACAAAGTCCCAAATTTAGTTCCATCAGTTCTTCCCGGATCCATTTCTTAAAACGTAAAATTTAGCTTATCATACGAATTATGATGTCATCTATGCTCGGTTTCAGGAGTAAACTTGGTAAGATCGTAACAAAGCTTTGAAATATTTTTTCTGTCAAATGGAATAAATAATAATTAGCGACCGTCTACTAAGTTAATTATACGTTACCTAACATATTCCTAAATGAGTGCTCTACAAAAATTGAATTATCCACCGTTTACAACTTTTACTTTTTATTTAAAACAATTACCTGCACAACTCATTTATATTGCTGTTCACCATAATGTCACAAAAAATACAAATGCGATTGCAATTCTTTCTTAGGCAAACGAGAAGATGACTCAATAATCAGTCTTAAAGTATGATTCCAATACAGTTGCTATACCAAACTGCTCCAACTTTAAAAAAAAAACAGTTTTTAGTAGTTTAGTCAGTTGAGGTAAAGTTGTCGAGTCGCACCAATTCAATAATACCTGAAAACGAATTTCGTAAAAAAGGCATCATACATAATAATAATTATATAACAATATTACTTGTGTATATTACATATAATATTCAGAATGGATATGCAATAGCTCCTGACAGACTTGGGAAATTGTTCGTTGCAGTTAAAGAGATGTAAACCATACGTGAATTTGACAAAGTCCCAAATTTTGTTCCAAACATTCTTCCGTAAATTCCATTTGAAAAATATTTTTTTGGCATTTTTGAATTGCTATACTAAACTGGTCCAGCTTTCGAAAATAAAGTTTTTAGTAGTTTAGTCAGTTGAGGTAAAGTCGACGAGTCGCACCAATTTTAATAATACCTGAAAATGAATTTCGTAAAAAAGGGCTCATACATAATAATAATTACTTGTGTTTGTTACATAGGCATTTTTGCACTACATGAAAAATGTGTCGCTTTGCTCCGCGAACCGAGTTATTAATTGTTATTAATTAAAGTTGACAGATATCCAGATTAGGAAATCTGTTGCATCGGTGGGATAGAGGGTTAAACAAATTTTTTGCTTTACAAACAAATATTTAACCAAGACAAATACTCTGCTGCAAACATAAAAATTATATAGACAATAATTTGTATTCTTAAAACAAAGAACGTGTTTTTAAAGCAGAGAATTTGTGTAATTCAAGAAAATACTTATTCTAGTTTTAATTACATGTTCTCACGTCCTTCTATGCCATCGATATGACGGATTTCCTAACCTGAATAGTTATCAACTTTAACGATTAATATCTCGGTCCACGGGGTAAAATGATATATTTTTTTTTACCAGATTCATTTCGTGCAAAAATGTGTCGAGCAAGTCTGATTTGTGTATGTAGAAGCAGAAAATCACTTACGCGTTCCTCTAATCCAGATCCAGATGACGGATTTGCTAATCTGAACTATCTCACTTTATGTCCGTTTTCTGTGACTGAACTAGTGTACACTTTTGGAACTTAAAGTGAGATAGATATACGTTTGATATTTGTTTAAAGCGAGAAAGTGAGTTCTAGAACAGTCTAGTGCAGGAACAGAAAACAGACCATTCAATTCCAAAAGTGTACACTAGTTCATCGGCCTCATCCACAGAAAGCAGACACATGTGTGATGTGACCATGCATGCCAGCGCCACATTTGCTTCTTCCGCCAAAAATTCCAAAAGGACATTACCTTCACCACTCCGTAGCGGCGACGACGACGACATCGACGACAATGACGTTTCTTAATATATAAAAGTTTCATATTCGTATTTTGCATCGCAATATCTCGTAGAGAACGTATTGAAAAAATAAAACCACTTTCATTATATATCCCGAGCAGTTGCAATCGATTGAGCACACCTAAAACTTGATCGGTTCAGCCCTTATTGAGATCCGATAATCTCGATCTGCCGCAACTCGCCGGCTCGTGTTGCAGTCCCTATGAGACATAAGACATAAGACCGGAAGGACGCCATTGCTGGGCGCTGGCCGGAAACAGCACAAATAACGCAAATAGACGCGTTTGCATCTGTTTGTACTACTACACCATGAAACAGTTGCTCACACCAATTCACAGATTCACTAATACATCGAAAGTGCCTAGAAATGGCGGCGACCAATCACGAGAGCGTCGCTCCTTATGTCTTGACTTTCATTATAGGGACTCTAGCTCGCGTAAAGTAGCCACGGTAGTGGCGCTGCGCGTAGTTTAGCGCCGAGACACTACCAGTGTCTCCAGATTTTTAATCTTTTGGTTTTTTTAATCTATATTTATTTATGATTTACATTTCAATTCTATTGACTTCTGCGAAAATATTAATAAATTACTACTAATTTCATTTTAGAAGGAATTTTACAAGGAATTTATTACATTGTTGACTCTTTAATGTACGTATTTAATTTTTTGACTTAACGACTTATAATTCTGTTTTACTGCAATGATTGTCTCATAAAATATGGTTTTAACTTAATGACTTTCATTTTGATTTTAAATTGACGACCTTTTATATGACAGATAAAGATTAAGTTTCTAATATGATATTATAGAATTAGCGACTTTCATACTAATGTTGACCACGATTATTACATAATAGTAATGAGAGAATTGTACAAAATAAAGATATTCTGGATACAATGGAAATATTGTTAGGAAAAGTGGAATGTGGATGAATATTGAAACAGATATGTACGTTGAAGAAACGACGAGGAACATATAATAAGTACAGGATTGGATTATAGCACTTCTTGGCGGCAATTTTTAACGATTTGTTTTATATTGCATAATTTCAATTATGATAATTACGGAATTTCATCTATTCAACAATGCGGCGAGCAGTGTAAGATTATTGTTAATGTCAAGACAATGTTAGGAAATTTAATGACGGATATCATACAAATATTGTTTTCAAATAATATTGAAGATTACCTAATGATGGTCAAAACGTCTATAGTTTGTATTTTGATGTAATTAAAATTGTTTAAAACATTTGCAGTAATAACCAGCGTGGGTTTGTATGCTTTTTTCATGTCTTATTGATTTTTTCGTATTTTGAAAGTCTGCTCCTTATATCTTATCTCTACAATTGTGCATTTTATATTTTCCTTATTTCAAATTAATTACTTTTTCAATACTAAATAATTGAAAAATCCTTTCCTATCAATTAATACACAGTTAAAAAAAAATGAAATTGAGATATTAATGAAAATAACGAAGATAGCTGTCATGAAAGATAACTGTCAATATATCTCATGCCTACAATTATACAATTAATAACATTCTTAATTCAAATTTATATTACCTGCGTACTAAATAATTACAAAATCTATTCTCTGATGCTAACTGAATGTTAAAACTATCTTACGCAATATGTTACACCAATTGTTTTTTTTTTTTAAATATAATTATAATTACTCACTTTAGGCAAGGAACCAGGGTTTTCCAAAATATGCAAACTGTGAACTTCGATCACATGTGGCAGTAGCGGCTTTGGATAACCAAACACGTGATTGTTGCCCAGAATCACTAGACTGAAATTTTTATCGATGTCGTAAACAGATGTACCAGGAGTCCGTTTGTTAGCCATGCGTTGAGCATTTGGTAGATGCCAGTATCGATAATATAATCTTGTATATGTTGTATAAAGGATATTCATTATCCGCTCATTGATTGTCATTCTATTCGTGAATGGATACGTCATGTCTGGATTAAAGTTAGGATCGTCTGGATTTCCTGCCAACCATAAGTCACGTAATAACATCTTTTAAATAAAACAAATGTTTCAAAAACTAGCTGCTTATAAAATATAGCGATATATTCAATTGTGTAATTTAAAATGAAATACGTACCCTCGAGTTTTTCGAAGTTACTTATAAGTTATCATTCTTATTTTAAAAAATAACATAACTAAAAAGACGCAATTTTCAAGTTATTAGATACCATAAATGAGTTAAATATTATCTTATCAATCATCAAAAGTAAAATAATATAACTTCATAAAAGAAATCGTTACAAATAAAAAAGATTTAATCTTGCTAATCTATTTGAATTGTTTAGCCCAATATTGTGATATTATAGAATGACAATATGTTGTTTATTTTAATACCTTTGAGCCTTTCACAGGTGTTTTCTTCAGAGGCACCAAAGGGTTTGCGGGTCATCGTGATTAATTGCTAATACCAAGGTTTCATGAACCTTTACTTCGTCAGGATAAGGAAATATCAGTGCGCTCCTCGTCCTGATGAAGTGAACGGCAAAGGTTCACGAAAGGTTAGCATTAGCAATAGATCACGGCATGGCGATAACTCGCAAATCCTTTTGCACCTCTGATGTAATTTATTTTTTTTTTAAGTAATATTTTATTTAATAACATTTTCAGTGATATTTGTACACTTCATTTGTTAATCTAAGACCCTTTTGCTGTGATCTTTTTTTATTTTTAGAGCTTTTTAACTTATTGATTCGAATGCTATGATCTTAGTGAGTAGACAAGCAAGATTAAGGGTTGTAAAACGAAAATGATATAAAAATTACGTTTGATTATATTAAGAATTTTTTTGCCGATATTACATTTAATTAAACAATAATTTTCTGTCCAATTAAAAAATAGTTTTCCTCCTCTTCTGAGAAACTTAATTTTTTTAGTTGCATTACTTTTGAAACAAGGGAGTGATATGCTACAAGCAGGAATACTCTAATGTGCGATGTGCTCTTTAAATATTTAGAACTACTTATTTTTTGCTTCTATTCGGATGAGTAGAGAAACGCGTTATTAAATTGTAAATTTTCTCGCAAGTCAAGAGAAATAAGTACAATGTATTACCGTCAGGTATCTATTTCTTTGAAAACTCAATACAGTGATTGTGTCAGATCAATGTGAAATGTTACTACTTCGAAACGCGGTTCGCCTTCGCAAAACTCGCCTGGCTTTAATTGAAATATTTTAGTAGCAACCACGGCGATCCATTTCACGGTCTATTACGTTCATCCGGAAGAGTACTTTCGGATATCTTCAATTACGTCGAGGTAAAGGAATCGAATGGCGGCGAGCCCGGCGCGTCCTCCTTCGCCACTTTTTCTCCGGCATTCTTCGAGTCAGACCAGTACAAGTTAAAGCACTACCTAGTAATATATCCTTTTCCACGAAGACCCGGTCTCCAATTGCTCGCACTTTCTGCTTTAACGACAATTTACGTCAATTTCCGCGCACAGTAACGACGTTCGTTGACGATGTCAACCTGGGTGGGTGCAAACCTAGTAGAAACATTGCAGAACGATTGTCCGACCAGGTTCGCACTCCCAGTTGTTACCTGCGCTGGATAACTTTCGTAAACAATAAAATTACTAAGCCGTCGAAATTACGCAAGTTGTTCGACATGCATAATATGCCCACCTATGGAATCCATTACGTAGGGCAAGTTGCCTACGCTCAAAAATCCAATCAGCACAGGGAAGTTGTAGTACTTTACAAGGGCGTAATAACATTGGTACCATAATTGTTCTATAATGATTGCGTCGAATGTCTTGTTGCTTCTATAACAAGCAAATTCGAATTGGATTTGTTTTTAAATATTATTCGTAAAGCTGTATTAAAATTGTCATTTTCGTTTTCGCATTTACAAATGGGACGATAAAAATATGTTGTTAATTTATATTGTAGAATTTCGTGATATCCACAGTTATTAACATTTCGATTTATTTAGTATTCCATAATAGATGCTGAGTATTTTATGCTTAATTAAAATTTACTTATACTCAGTGAAATCGGTTTTGCTAAAATATCTAAAAATTTAACTAGATACACATAGAATCTAAAAATAATTTTTAGACGATGACTACTTGTTACGGTTCATTTTTCACACTATACGTGAAAATAATGTTCCAGACATTAAAAAAATTCTATGGTTTACAGTACCATACATAAATTCAATTTCTGAAAGAGTTAGAAACATTATTACAAAAATTCAATTTCTAAACTCTTATCTTTCAGTCTAAATTAGTTATGTAGAATTATTAAGATACATAAAGATTCCTTTTTTGTAATTTCTCAAGAGAATATCGTTTACAAAATATTGTATAACCCCTGCAGCACAAACATTGCAGCAACACTGCTGCTACATTGCAAAGATTTTGCAGCAATATTGCTGCAAATTCTATGCTGTATGGGAATGTTCGCGATACGTTCTACATAGGACAAATCAGTAAACAATTAAAAAACATTTTCGCCCATGCAGCACAGAAAGTTTTCAGAAATATCTCAGAAATACTTCAACTGAAAAGTAAAACATTTCGTAAAAGTTGCGAAATATGTTTGCAACATTTCTGAGACAGCTCTAGTATAGCAAAATATCCGCGATTCTTGCACATGAAACCTTGTTGAAAGGCTGTCAAAATATTACAGAAAGAATTTGCAATCTTCTTAAAATATTACCAAAAAGTTACAGAAATAGCTGAAACCTTTTCGAAATATTGTTGACCGTAATTCTCTCAATCTGAAGTACTTAAATAAATTTATTAAGAGCCTTCTGATTTATTTACACATTACAAAACTTATATATTAGAATAAACTTAAAGTCTTTCTCAAAAATGGTATTTAAATTTATTATATTCAAAGAATTGCTAGTAACTGAACCATTACACTAAATATTATGTATAAAATAGTATTTTTATATATAATATATTTTATACATTTTATTTAGTATTTGTAATCTTATTAATATAATAATTGTAAATTTGATGCCTGGAATATAATTAACAAAAATAATGCATAATATAATTTTTATCAGTATAACATTACATAACATTATTTTCTACATTGCGTAATATTATATTATTACATATTATATTATATTCATTACCTAACTACGAAATATAAATTTTTTAATCCGTATTTGAATAATATTAATTATCATTTTATGTATAAAGTTTTGTATTTTTTCTGTTTATTCTATTAGTGCAATGCTTTTCGGTATTTTAAGTAAAAGTATGGCTTGTAATAATATCAAATACAGAAAAAAGAAAAAAAATTTATAGAAAAAAGTAAACTTATAGAAAAAAGTAAACAATATGTAGAAAGTATAATTGAATCACTCTTTTGTTTCGGTATTATGACAATCAAGCGAGTGGTTTACCCCCGAAAAGTCGCTTAGAAAATGCATTAACCGACCGATCAATGTTCTAGTGGTTGAAAATGATTGGATTCGATTTCTCATATTTTTCTGCGAAAAGGCATCTATACAAACTTTATTTGTTAAGTGGTCATTCAAAAAGTTATTAACAATTTTTGTCTAAAAAATCTAAACAAAAATTCCGAAAAAATTCTGTAAGCTTAATTGGATCAAAATGAACATTTTCTGTCTCTTAGACTATTTTCATAAAATCTATAGTTTTCGAGATAAAAAATGTCGAATCTTGAAAAATGACTACATTTACGATTTTTTTTTCTCACAAACTAATCATCCAATCAGTACGAATAAAAAACGAAAATATTCGGCCCACCTTAAACTATAACGGGAATTTTTTTTATTTTAATCCGTACTGTTATTGACAGTGTAAACTTTATTAGATTGAGACTCTGAAGGCGCGTCCGCGGCGCGTGAGCGGTCTCGACGTTGCCACATCGCGTCGCTCAGCATGCCGAGCTTGTGCATGCACAAGTTTATGCGTGTTTTGTTTTTGATTAAGTTTTCGCTAGCATTTCTTTCTCAATCCGTTGTGTTTGTATTTCAGTACAAATTATTATTGCGTATTTATTGAATTATATATTATTGAATTTGTGCGACTCGTCGACTTTACCTCAACTGACTAAACTACTAAAAACTTTATTTCTGAAAGCTGGACCAGTTTGGTATAGCAACTGTATTTGAGTCATACTTTAAGACTGATTATTGAATCATCTTCTCGTTTGCCTAAAAAAGAATTGCAATCGCATTTGTATTTTTGGTGACATTATGGCGAACAGCAATTTAAATGAGTTTTACAGGTAATTGTTTTAAATAAAAAGTAAAAACTGTAAACGGTGGATAATTTAATTTTTGTAGTGTTACGATTTTACCAAGTTTATTCCTGAAATCGAGCATAGATGACATCATAATTCGTATGAGCAGTTATAAATTTTACGTTTTAAGGAATGGATCAGAGAAGAATTGATGGAACAAAATTTGGGACTTTGTCAAATTCATATATGTATGGTTTACATCTCTGTTTAACTGCAACGAATAATTTCCCAAGTCTGTCAGGAGCTATTACGTCAAATTCATATATGTATGGTTTACATCTCTGTTTAACTGCAAAGAATAATTTCCCAAGTCTGTCAGGAGCTATTGCACATCCATTCTGAAGTTATGTAATAAACACAAGTAATATTATCTAATTATTATTATGTATGAGGCCATTTTTACGAAATTCATTTTCAGGTATTATTGAAAAATGGTGCTACTCGTCGACTTTATCTCAACTGACTAAAAACTTTATTTTTGAAAGCTGGACCAGTTTGTTATAGCAACTGTATAAATTTGAATCATACTTTAAGATTAATTATTAAAGCATGTTCTCGTTTGTCTAAGAAATAATTGCATTTGTATTTTTGGTGACATTATGTTGAACAGCAATTTAAAAGAGTTGCCCATATAATCGTTTTAATAAATTTTGTAGAGCACTCATTTAGAGAGAGAGAGGAATATGTGAGATAAGACTGATTATTGAAGCATCTTCTTGTTTGCCTAAGAAAGAATTGCAATCGCATTTGTATTTTTTGTGACATTATGGTGAACAGCAATATAAATGAGTTGTGCAGGTAATTGTTTTAAATAAAAAGTAAAAGTTGTAAACGGTGGATAATTCAATTTTTGTAGAGCACTCATTTAGGAATATGTTAGGTAACGTATAATTAACTTAGTAGACGGTCGCTAATTATTATTTATTCCGTTTGACAGAAAAAATATTTCAAAGCTTTGTTACGATCTTACCAAGTTTACTCCTGAAACTGAGCATAGATGACATCATAATTCGTACGATCGGTTAAATTTTACGTTTTAAGAAATGGATCCGGGAAGGATTGATAGGTAAACATGAGTCTATTATCGATAAATTATATAGGCATATAGGCAACCGACTTACTGAGTATATTATATGTTATTTATACAAACTTACCTTTTTAAAAAAAGAGCTTTCAAGAAAGCGATAAGCATGCGTGCTTTTCGTGAAGAATCATTTGGGCCGGTTTCACCAACGCCAATTACTTAATTGGCCGTGGAACTGACTAATTGTGTTTACTATTTTGTAGAATTGACCACTTATGATTGACAGTTATTTGACGTTTTCTGGATTGCTATACCAAACTGGTCCAGCTTTCGAAAATAAAGTTTTTAGTAGTTTAGTCAGTTGAGGTAAAGTCGACGAGTCGCACCAATTTTAATAATACCTGAAAATGAATTTCGTAAAAAAGGACTCATGCATAATAATAATTACTTGTGTTTGTTACATACGCATTTTTGCACTACATAAAAAATGTGTCGCTTTGCTCCACGAACCGAGTTATTAATTGTTATTAATTAAAGTTGACAGATATCCAGATTAGGAAATCTGTTGCCTCGGTGGCATAGAGGGTTAAACAAATTTTCTGCTTTACAAACAAATATTTACCAAGACAAATACTCTGCTGCAAAAATAAAAATTATATAGACAATAATTTGTATTCAACAATAAACGTGTTTTTAAAGCAGAGAATTTGTGTAATTCAAGCAGAAAATACTTATTCTAGTTTCAATTACATGTTCTCACGTCCTTCTATGCCATCGATATGACGGATTTCCTAACCTGAATAGTCATCAACTTTAACGATTAATTTCTCGGTCCACGGGGTAAAACGATATATTTTTTTTTACCAGATTCGTTTATTTCGTGCAATAACGTGTCGAGCAAATCTAATTTGTGTATGTAGGAGCAGAAAATCACTTATGTGTTCCTCTAATCCACATCCAGATGACGGATTTGCTAATCTAAACTACCTCACTTTATGTCCGTTTTCTGGGACTGAACTAGTGTACACTTTTGGAACTTAAAGTGAGATAGATATACGTTTGATATTTGTTTAAAGCGAGAAAGAGAGTTCTAGAGCAGTCTAGTGCAGGAACAGATAACAGACCATTCAATTCCAAAAGTGTACACTAGTTCATCGGCCTCAGCCACAGAAAACAGACACATGTGTGATGTTACCATGTATGCTAGCGCCACATTTGCCTCTTCCGCCAAAAATTCCAAAAGGACATTACCCTCACCACTCCGTAGCGGCGACGACGACGATATCGACGACAATGACGTTTCTTAATATATAAAAGTTTCAGATTCGTATTTTGCGTCGCAATATCTCCGCTCTTAGAGCACGTAGAGAAAAAATAAAAGCACTTTCATTATATATCCCGAGCGGTTGCAATTGATTGAGCACACCCAAGTAACACATGAAGCTTTAAAACGTCTGCGATAACGTTGTCTCAGCTTAAATCGCAGTATTTTTGTCCATGACAGTCACTGCTATAACGTATTCATCATTATGACATTGTGACAAAGTTGTAGCAGCAAAAATGGGACAACATTTTTAGGCTTTGAAGACGATGTCGCAGCCATTTGGCTGCGCAATTATTTTGCTGCGGAAAGGTTGTCATAACCACCATAAAGCTTCAAAATGTCTTCAACAATGTTGTCGCAACTTACACCGCAGCATTATTTTTGTCTATAACAGTCACTGCCACAACGTCATTATGACATTGTTACAAAGTTGTTGCAGCCATTCAACTGCATAACCATTTTGCTGTAAAGAGGCTGTCATAGCCATATATATTATAGTGATAATCTGAATAAAATAAACTAATAAGTAGAATTTTCTTTATATGTAAATTAATATTCAATGAAAGTTTAACTTTTAATTTTAAAATTACAAAAAAATATTTAAAATACAATAAAAAAATTTTTTTAGCTGGAATTGAACTTGAAATATCCCGGAACCTTTGTCTCACTAGAATTAGATCAAATTTAAGGATTAATTAATCAGTACAACTTATTACAATTTATAACTTACACATATAATACTAACGCGGACGCAAATTCATAAATACGCTAATTACAGAACTACACACAGATCCTTAAGTAATAATTTTAGAGCCGCTTAAATGAACGCATGAGTCCGC